CACACACACATAGAATAGATAGCCTCACACACTTCACAGGTGGGTGACAAATTGTAGGAAAAACTGAATAAACGACATGAAATTAAATGATTTGAGTATGAAAATGATGTGAATGGGGCCTTCATATTCACCAGATCTCAACTGAACTCCTATGAGATATTTAAGACGGACACATTAGACAGACTCACCACCACCATCATCAAATGCCAAATGAGGAAATATCTTTTATAACAATGGTGTTTTATCCCTCAAGTAGAGTTACAGAGACATTAAGAGGATTAATGCAAAGGAAGCATTTGAAGCTGTTCTAGTGGCTCGTGTTGGTCCAACACCTTACTAAGTCGTGTTTTAATTGTTTACTTTAATCCATTCCCATATAGCCTACATACTTTACTTACAAACAAATGGTACCTAATGTGCAGATCCTGTTCTTTTTCTCTAAGCGCATGCATTTACTCTAACCTCTTCCAGAATCAGAGTAACAAATATAGACTGAGTTTAAAATACTGGGTAAATTAAAAACAAATTTGATGCATTTTTTTAATCTTCCTGTTGGGTTTGGCACACCATCCTCCATGTCAACACTCTGTCCTCCCTAAATGTCCACTCAGCTTTTGCCCTCAGAAGTCCTGCCAGCCTGACTCTGGGTAATTTATCTGTCGTTCTGCTTCCTCTAACCGGTGGCACAACCACTTTGTTTCCTGCCCTGGCCCTGTGTTCTGCCCGCTGGGCAAACACACACATACGCATATATACACGCAATAAACTACACACATTCATACAAACACACACACACACACACACCTCTGCCTTTACACAACAACTTCCTGTTAATCCTGCTTTCCCACACGTTCTGCCCTCAGGCCTCGGGGGTTAGTGGAGAGACATCTAGTGCTGTGATCATAATTCAGCTAGGACCCATATTTGTCAAGCGTCCCAGTCTCTGAGTGGCAGGATGAACTCTGCTTGGCCAAACTAAAAATATTTAATTTGAAGTTATAAAAAGAAAAACTTTAGCTTTATATCACACATTTGTTCTTTATCTGCTTGTTCTAAAGTAAAGCTAAAACAATTAGCCAATCAACCAATTATTCTCCGGTTGAAACTACAATATAAATACAAATTTAATATATTTGTGTTTTGGACAGTTGGTCAGACAAAACAAGTAATTTAATTAAGTGAATTGTTATTGCTGGCTCTGGGAAAATGTCATAAAAATTCTATCTACATGAGATCTCGCAGATGAATCTGTGAAGCAATATTATTTTGATTTAAATAATCAAATCAGATGTTGTGATTAGTATGAACGCACAACTGTTGAATTGTAAAAATGTTGCATGTAATTTGACATTTCCCTGTAATCCAGCATGATGTTTGAACACCTGCTGACCTGGACTACAATTTAAAATAGAGCCTTTGTAATGATGAGTCAGTGAAGTTCAAGGGGACGATAGATTTAACACACAGACCGCCAAAAGACAGCGAGAATGCCAAATGACAGCAAATGCTTAGGGTACCCAGAGATGAACCCTGAGGAACCCCAGAGCACGGATATTGTATTTTGTGATGGACACACCTTCCAAAAAGGATTAAAAAAAAAGACAATTTACAATATGTTAATGCAAAAAAGTAAGTTCATTGATTCGGGGTAATTCTGTGTTGAGAAATGAAGAGTTGAGAGTTTAGATAATGTCAGGAAGGTCAAAGCCTTGGAGAGGAAGACTGGCTGAAAGAGCCCATTCAGGGGAAAAATGAGGAAAGGTTGTGGCCAAGAAAAAAAACATGGAAAGGCAAGAGCAGCAGATCAGGAGAGAGGGACAAGTGTATATATTGAATCACTGGAAGGATGACTAATCGGCCACTAAGAGACTCCTCTGAAGTGGCGTACAAACCTGTATAAGATGCCAAAAACTTGAGGGGAAGAGGAAGTTGCCGATGAAGAGGTAAGTTTTCTACTTGGACAACTATGACTCACTGGTGATTAAGCATGGCGGCAATAAAGTAGCGCGGTTTCAGCTGCCAAGTTGCCACTTTTACGATGTTTTTTTTAAATTTCTATCCGTGTCTTCGCGAACAATTTGTTTATACAGTGTGTTTCCTATCAATCAAGGTTTGCGGGCTTAGTAAATACTGTTGAATGGCTTCTCACTAATGTGCGTCATAGGCCGTATGCTTGGTCTCAGTAAGCAGGTCTGCGTTATCTGCTGAAGTGCTGGTACTTGTATCTGCCACTATGTGTTGTTTCTGCCATTTCTTTAATGAAGTGTTTCCACATTATTTGACTGCTATTAAAGACATCTGAACCAAGAATCATTCAGATAACTATGACACAGACATTGTTATTAACGCACATTTTTAATGAGTCTGTTACAATTTGTGAGACAGCTGATGAATAACCAGCTGCTGTAACATGTGAAGCCTTCAAAGCCAAGAGGTTCTGGTGACAACCGTCGACATATCTGGGCTGCAGCTGAACTCTGATCTCTCTCTGCTACACATCTCTGATCAAACTGTGGTTAGTTGTAAAAAAACAAAAGTAGTATCAAACAGATTGCTAAAGAGCATCGCTCCACTGTGGTTTACATTTTCCACCCACCGAGGGAAATATACTAGTAGTCATCTATATACTGTACATAGATACACGTGTCACACTGCTAAAATGTTTTGTGATTTTACAGGACTCAAAAGATTTTCCAGTGAATGAATCTAACATTATGATTAAGTGTGCGCAGCATATCATTGTACACATCATGGACGATGTCAACAGACCGACTGGTAATGTGTAATGTTCAGTTTCCCAAAGATTAGCATGCTCAGGCATTTAAGACCAGACCTGTATGGCCAAAAGTATGCAGACAGCCCTTTCTGTATTTTATGTGCTTTTGGTCTGGCGCTGGTTTTCTGAAGAACTGGACTGGACTATAAGGAGC